CAGTATTGTTTGTGTCCCAGCACTGGTCTACAATACAGTTACTCGAGGTCTGGCACTATGACGAGCAACAGTGGCCTTCTTGTAGTTGTGTGGTAGCATCCATTTGTCGATCTGAATGCCGAGGAACAGGCAATATGCACCGACAGTGACGGATTTGTTCTCTGTATAGAGCCGCTTGAAAGCCACAGTGTGGGAATCCTTTGCTATGATGATCATCCACTTGCGCCCACGTAACTCTTCATGGTAGAACTCGGGCGGCTTCTCATCTGCATTCATACAAAATTGACGATTGTGAGTTTCGGCTCGAGGTCCGAGACCACCCATATTTCATCTAGGGCCGGGGTGCGTTTTCACAGTTGTGAGTGACATCTCATGCTGAGAACATTACTGCTAGAGGTATAGAATCGGTACTGCGTTCGTGCTTCTATAAGAAAATTAGGTACCCATGCGCACCCTCTTGACCATCCTCAGTTTATCGGACATAACTCGGGCAGCAGTTGCAGCTGGGATGTCAGACTCGCGGGGAAGCTCGACAAGGGTCCAGGCTCTGTGATCAGATATTCAGTGCCTGACTTCATCCACCCTTTTTTCTTGTGCAGGATGAATATTATGGGACCATCCACGACAACAAATTTTTCCCTTCTACGGGCTCCTGAACCAAATCTTCCACCGTGTATTTCGAGAACACCCTTACACACAACTATGGTCCGGCGCAGGTCAAATTTGAGCAGCGCACTTTCCTCTTATGACGTCTGATTTGAAAAACCGGCGCCGATTTTCACCACTCGGGCTTCTTTCAATTTCTCGAGAACTTCTTCTGGGGCTAGGTTCGCCAAATTTCACAGATACACAGCTTAAGGTACTAGCTTCCAAATGGTATAGTAGCCCGCTGCTCTATCCCCTTTGCTTTTCTGCCATTCCTCTATATGTAGCGGCACGTTTGAATGGGATGACCTAATAGTAGCATGTATTATGGCTCGAACCATTCCTATGGTTGCAAATAGGCGTCTGAAACTGCCCTGTCGTGCTGTGCTGTTTTTCCTTTACGCTCAGCTTCTGAATTGTCCCCTCTCTTTCATCCCTTTGAAATTTTTAGGTTCGAGTTTATCGTGTGTAATCTCGCTTATGGTATCGATGTTGAAGAGACGGAAGCTGAAATTGCAACATTCAAAGAAACTCCATGCTGAATTGATAGAACGTAACAAAAAGAAGTGTGTCTGTGTCATATTTTTTTTCAGTAGCTCTGGTTTCAGTTTCGCATGTTTAGACTGGA